TGGGCCGTAAAAAAACATATTTAAAAAGCAAAGCACTATTTTTACATTTTCACAAGATAGATTATCAAGGTCCATTAGATCTAAAATGAAAATTGTTTGGTCTTGATTTAAAGTGTTTATAAGCCAGATACAAAATGCTAGTAGCTTCTATGTTCAAATACTGGGAAATATTTGTAAAACAAATGTTATTTTCTTACTGTAGGCTGTAAGGTTAATCCAGGCATGTGTAGATGTATTAAGTAGTAATGGTTGGTTAAGTCCAGCTTTAGCTGCTATGGAGTTGGCACAGATGTGTACACAGGCTATGTGGGGAAAAGATTCATATCTTAAACAATTACCACACTTTACTAATGACATCATCAAAAGATGTAAAGACAAGGTAAGATATCAATTTATAGTATTTGTTTATTGTCATTGGGGTGTGTGGGTATGAGTGTTCTGTTAACATGGTGATAGTGGATTTGATCACATAATTGTACCTCACAAAGGTCAAGACCTCTCTGCATTAAACTCTAAACTCTGATTGTCCTTTATCTGAGTCTTTTGCACATTTGAAATAATCATTTACCATATTCATTTATTTTTATAAGCTCACACTGAAATGTGGTCATATATTGTCACCACCCTCATCCACACGTCCATAATTGACTTAGTTTAAATTTATATAATGTGTTTATGTCCATGGTCATATATTGTCACCACCCTCATCCACCCGTCCATAATTGACTTTAAATTTAGATGATGTGTTTATGACCTTGAGACAAAGAATCTTATTGACTTCAACAATTTCTGTCAGAGTCATCACCCCTTATTAATTTTCAATCTGTTAGGGATAAGAATAAAAAATTAGATCTTATTTTACAATTATTTGTGTAATTATTATTTTGCTATTTTTAGGGTAATGAGACAATATTTGATGTTATGGAAATGGAAGATGATGAAAGAAATGCTTTATTACAACTTAGTGAATCCCAGATGGCAGATGTAGCTAGATTTTCTAACAGATATCCTAACATAGAATTAACATATGAAATACAAGATAAAGATCAAATCCGAAGGTTTGTCTCCACATCTACATTTAACTTTAAAATTTTGACATTTACATGATGAAAAACAGTTCTTGTTATCATTTGTCTTTTTTTATATGATTAAAAAAAGTTCCTGCTATCATTTGGGTCTTTTTTTTGCGAATTGTTGTTATTATTATACATGGTTATATGTCTATTACAGTGGTTCTGGAGTTAATGTATCTGTGACATTAGAAAGAGAAGATGAAGTAACCGGACCAGTTATAGCTCCATTCTTTCCACAGGTTGGTTTATTGCATTTCTCTTTTTGTTAGAATAACTAAAACATTATTCATTTAAAAGTATAATTGATAAAGGGACCTACTGAATGGTTATTAAAATTGTCAAACTTATGATAACTGCCAGGATCCGAGTAGTACTGTGTTGTACTCCCATTTTTATGGGCAGGTTGCCAAATGATCTTTAGGGCTTATGTACCTTGATCACCAAGATTTCAGTTTTACAAATCTGGATTTAATTTTACAGGAGACAGACCTGCTCTGTTGTTGACTTTTGAATCACTATTTTGCACTCCAACAGTTTTGACAGTTATGCAAGTGCGATTGTAATCCATTAATGGAATGGGACCATCAGCTTAATCATGTAGTTTTTCCTCTCATAAAAAGCACTTTTTGTTGGTGAATTAGTATGTTTGTCCCAAAATGACAATTTGTTACTCTCTCTAACTGCCTCTGTCAAATTTCAGTTCATGTAAATATTGTTTACAATTCTGTTAACATCTATTTGATTTTCTTTCAGAATCGAGAAGAGGGTTGGTGGGTTGTTATTGGTGATACTAAAAGTAACTCATTATTATCTATCAAACGGTTGACATTACAGCAAAAGGCCAAGGTTAAGCTGGATTTTGTGGCACCATCACCAGGACATTATAATTACACGATATATTTTATGAGTGACGCGTACATGGGATGTGATCAGGAATATAAATTCTCTGTTAATGTTAAAGAAGGAGATAGTGACAGTGAAGATAGTGACAGTAATTAGAATAAAAATGAAAGTAAGGGATATGATCATGAATCAGTTTTACTGAATTTATGGTTTAATCTTCTGCAGAAAAATTAGTTATTTGTAAATATAAATTGAGATATCATAAAAACATTTTCATTGAAATGTATTCATGTAAATTGTAACATTTTTCAAAAATTAGACAAGAGTGTATTTCAAAGCCTAATATAGTGTAAGAACATTTATATGGATGACTCAAAACCTCAGAACCTCCCTAAACAATTGAAATTAAATTTGAGCATATTATCCTGAATTTTCTTTTTTCGGGAATTGAAGAAGTAGACTGTGTCCCCATCAGAATTAGTTTTATGTGTTGAATAACAGTAATTTAGATTCTGAAAAAAAAAAGAAAGAAATTATTGAAACCTTGAGGAATTTAGAAAAGTATGTAATAAAGGTTTGTGCAAGTTGTGGTAAATTGCATTTAACACTTTATTTTCAAGCATGTATTAATTTTTTCTTGTATTATGATTGTGTCAGTTGAAAGGTATATGATTAATATCAAAATAACAAAGTTTTTTGCATATTCTAAACTTGTCATAACATAGATTTGTGCAAATAAACATTTTGAATTTTCATAGTATCTTTTAAAGATACATTATGGGAGATTCGATAACGAGTTGGCAGTTCTCACTATAATAGTTAAAAACTAGATAATGTAAAGGCAATTTGCTGAAAATTTCATTCAAATTGATCCACTATGAACCGAGAACAAAGCGATTGAATTTCCGCCTAGCCTTGGTCATCATTACTAAAGTCAGTACGATAAACAGCATAGTCTCGATTATCCATTTAATCATTAAATCGTGAAGAAACGTTATGCAGTAAATCGGCTACCAATCCGCTAAAGATCGCTGGCAAGCGATGCCATCTAGAGATGATTATGGTCTGGATAGGTTAATTAATGTCTAATTAATAATTTAGATAACATTTCAGGCCTAAAGAAAGACCTGCAATAGACAGATTTAGCTCTTGCATAATGTATGTTTAATAGTTATTGATACATTGCATGTTTATTTATAATAAATAGATGATGTCTATCAATTATTTCTACAATCACCCAAATTTAATTATCATTTTTTTTTATCTAGAATTCAGAGATGTTATTAATTGAGTTGGAAAACATGATAAATATGCCTTCTCCTTTGACAAACACTACAGGAAAATAATTACTATATACCTTTTAACAGATAAATCTAATATTTAAGACAAAATAAATATTTTACTAATTCATTTCACCACCATTTGTAACAAAGGACTCGAAGAACGAGGCCAAACATATTCCACAAGTCATTTCAAATGGTGACGCTATATTCTTATCTGGAGATACGAGTGTAGACTGGAATAACCTGACACTACAGATTGCCATTCGGTTGAAACTTCTCGCGTATTTCACCGAACATAGCTGATTAGAAATTACAGAAAAAACAGAAACGACTGAATGTAAATCAGTTTATATACATTCATATTACATTATATGCATTGCAACCCATTTGTGTCAATTTCTAGGTCCCAAATATTAGCCATTTAGCTCTTTTAAACTAGTTTTCATTCTGTTCAACATAAAAAATCCACCTATTCATGTTGGGTTTTTCATTTATTTTTTTTTTATCATCCATATAAATTATAAAGTGCTATAAGTGTACCATATCCTGTTTTCTAGGAGATAGGGCCCAATCATATTGTCATACAGTAAAAACGTGTTGAATAAATAAATGTACTATATTCTCATCTTTTTCTGTGTTTTTTGATCAAAATTAATTGGAGTGGGTGGGGGGATGGATGGTCGAAAAATGGTTAGCAGGTGCGCGCTGTATCATAAGGTCTGTCTTTGAGTCAACTGGTGTGGTTTCGATTCCCCAGGGTTAGCATGCGCACTGTATCATAAAATCTGTCATTGAGTCAACTGGTGTGGTTTCGATTCTCCGGTTGTACGTGACAGGAGTGGGTCGCCAGTCCAACTTCATGGGTTTTCTCCGGGCCCGCCGGTTTCCTCCCACTGCTAAAGACCCCTACGCGCAAACAAATTATGGGAATAAAATTGAACCATATGTTAGTCCTGAAATGACCTAGTTTGTGACCAGTGGACATTAAACCCCATTTCTCTCACTCTCTCGATTTCCCAGATGTACATGACAAGAAGTAGGGTCGCCTGTCACACCTCCTGGGTTTTCTCCGGTTTCCTCCCACTACTAACGACCCCTATGCGCAAGCGAATTATTAAAATAAAATGAAACCATATGTTGGTCCCAAAATGGCCTAGTTTGTGTCGAGTGGATGTTAAACCCCATTTCTCTCTCTCTCTCTCTCAAAATTAATGATTTTTGTTTTACCCTCTGTTTGAAAAGATATCATAAAGAATAACACTATTGATTGCCTCCGCGGATGACACAAATACAGCAATTCTTTTTTATTAGGCCTTCACCCACAATTTGCATTTCTATTTTTGTTGATATTTTGGGTTCGAGTCAAAGAAGATTGTCTGAATTTCCATTTTCTGAAACATAGTGAATATTGATGATGATCAATACGGTCAACCTCCTTCAATGTTTCTATCAGATAATTGTGATTGTTGGGCTGTTGTGTGTTATGAAGATTTGACATTGACGTCAATGTTGAGAGAATTAGTAGGCTCAGACCGTAATGGAGGGACGTAACTCCATTTTTAAATGTTGACGGGTGAACCGGTCATTATTCATTCAGTACAAGCATAAAAATGTCGAAAAATCTGTTTGCTTTATATTTCATTATTATGTTATTATCATAGTTCACAAATTGATAGTTGTCCAAATATTATTTTACAATTTTGAAGTATTAATTCGTTTCGCTATACTGACCTGAATGAAATCCGTAATTTGAAACTAGCCTCTGTTATCAAGTCCTGTGTAGAAGGTAAAGAAAGAATACTGTAATGCCAATTAATGGCATGGCCTAATGTTGGAGACTACAATGTTGGAGGTTGTATAACATGTGTTTTGATATCAATGTTGACAATTTTTTGTATCAACAACGGTAACATTGTGGTTATATTATAATTTATCAGATAGAAAAATTTATTATCTTGTAATTGCATGTTGTGATATTAGAGATGACATCATTTCTGCTGTGTTTGTCATTCATGAAAACTAATCACTAAAGTATTAAAGGCTCAATACCACTCTTGTTGTAACTGAATAATGTGTCCCAATCTTTATTCTGGTCAACAAATTGTACTATTTTAGAGTATTTCAATTAATTGATGATACAAATTTCATCTTAACACACCTTATTTAAAAATTTTGAAAAATTCAACATAATGGTTTGAAACGTCTAACGTAAACCTTTTCAAATGAAACTTCGATTTAAAAATATTTTCGAACCCTCTGGACAAGTAAAATATCTTGTAATTGATAATTTACACAACAGGTAGGACACTTAAACATCTAGTACTTAGATTGAGATATTATTTATTTTCTGGAGCTTTCAAGCCAGCAAGAGTGTTATTGTCCCTTTAAGTGTAGCAATGGTTAAGCTGATCATACTTGTTGACATTGGTTTCAGTAAAATAATTAACTAGAAGACTCCATCAACATCAAGTTAGTTATATTCCACAGGTTTACAGTAAATGAAATTTATGGCTTCCTAATTTTATGCTTTAAATCTTCCGAGTGCAAAAACGGAAAATTGGAACTTTTGACCCCTGGGGTCACAAAGAACAAAAAAGGTGAATTTAGTAAGTTTACATTTTTATTGAAAGAATGATTACCTTCGATCATTTGTTATTTCTATATTTTCAGAAATTCAACAATCTTCATTATGGTTTGAAAAGCTTAACATACTACATAAAATAGCACTAGGCCTGTCAAAATGATGAGTTCCTTGGCCTATAGACTGTCTCCGGTAATGAAGAGGATAGCAAATTGTGGACGAGTTCTGTTTTCCGACAAATATCTCTTATTAACAAATACTACAATCTCCGTCACCCTGTCTGTAACTGGAGACATAATGCAACAAAAATACCAGATAATGCAGAATAACATGAAATCTTGGAACAAAAAGCGGACTTTTCACATGGCATGTACTGGACTTGTAATTGGAGCATTTTGTCACTACTGGTACCTATATTTAGACAAATTTTTTCCAGGAACTGCATTTCGCACACTAATCAAAAAAGTGCTTATCGATCAAATCGTGTGTTCACCTATCTATATAGGCATGTATTTTGTTACCATTGGAATGCTAGAAAACATGACAGTGAAGGAAATAGCAGCAGAAGTTTTGGTCAAAGGGTCAACAATATACACTATGGAATGGATAATATGGCCGCCAGCACAGTTAATCAATTTTATGTTTTTGCCCACTAAGTATAGAGTTTTATATGATAATATAATTAGTCTGGGTTTTGATACATATTATTCTAATGTGAAATATCATAGTGAAGTCAGAAACACTGAAGTTATTAGTCAAAGTAAAAATATTGATATAGAGACTATTGTTAATAATAATATTAGTAAAAGTAACTATATGGATAAAGAGACTATTGTTAATGATAATATTAGTGAAATTAACAATATTGATATACATGTAGAGACTAATTCATAAATGATAATATTAGTAATAGTATAGAGACTAATCATAAATTAATACTAGGGAAAGTAACTACATATATGGATATAGAAGCTATTGTTAATGAGGATGAAGAGTGATTTTTATATATATATATATTTTTTTAGAAGAAAGTTAATTATAAGTGTGTCTGTGATGTATAATAAATACTTCTCTAAAATTATGTTATACAACCCTACCAAATGACTATTGTGCACATTAGTTGCTTGAAAACAATGCAATATTTTTTACAACAACGTAGGTTTTATCAATTGTTTAATTTAAATCATTTTCCCAACAGGAATTTCTGTTTGAAACATGAAATCTTTACTGTGTGTGATAAGACTGACAATTTCAGTCAATAATTTGAATAGCCAGTGACCCATAGATAAATTCAGCGGGGTGTGTCCACAGTTGACCTACATTGTTTCAATGGCATTTAGTAATTCAACTGGATCATTGACCTGTATATTGTTTGAAAAAAAATGCATCACTGAATTTACTTTGACTCAGGGAAAAGGTATTTGTTATTGTACTGTCTGCACAACAAAACACAATTTTGTCATACACCACCACCACCACCACAGAATATAAACACGGAATATGATAAATAAATATTTACCTTGCTGCAAAAACAAAATTACATTTTGTAACCCAAGTAGTGGAGACTGTTTGACCTGCCCTATACATCTTGGAATTATTTATGTATAGATTGTTGTTTTTAAAGTCTGTTTTTTAGAGTTTTATATATATAATTTATTTTGAGCAGAACAAATATTTTTTTAATAATTATTTTTCTAGGTATTATGTTAGGTCTGAGATTAAATATGCTATGTAAAGATAAACTAGAGAGAAAGAACATGGGTAAAAGAATGTGTGAAGACTGAGGGCTTTATTTTAGTACGAGTTTCTTTTATCTGTTTATCTTTCCCCAGCCTTACCAAAGACCAGAGTTTTCTAGAATCAATATTTTGGTTAATTACATTTACATTATAAAGTTTAGAATAACCTGCCATATAAAGTTTAACCCTCCTAACCACGCAATATAAATTATAACCCTCCTAACCATACAAAATAAATTTTAACCCTCCTAATTATACACTACATTGATACCTTCCTAAACATGCAACAGTTTGTGTGCTAACCCTAATTATAAAGTCTAACCATACTGTATAATAGTTCGAAAATAGCTAATGTAAAATGAATATTTTGAAAATTTCATTCAAATTACTCTATTGCGATTGAAGATATTAGCCTTTGAAGGTTTGACAAGACGTGTGCAATAATTTCAACCACCCTACTGGTTGTTTGATGCTAAGTCACGCTCCTCCATTTTTAGCTTAAATCAAAATATGGCTGAACTGTTCTAATCTATTTAATATTGGAGAAATCCGATGCCATCGAGAGTTGATTAGGGCCTGGATAAGTTAATTAATGTCTAATTAATAATCTAGAAAACATTTCAGGCCTAAAGAAAGACCTGCAATAGGCAGATTTAGCTCTTGCATAATGTATGTTTAATGATCAAGGCAAGACTACATCCAAGTTGACTGCTGTTTTTGAAAAAGGTACTTCAGCATCACCATTGAATGAATAGTCTCTGTTGGTTGATAAAAGTTGAGATATTGAGCAAATCGAAAGAACTGTGTCGTCATTTAGTTTTAGAAATATTTCTTCCATTTCAGCATCTGCTGATGAAAACAATTTCTTGGTAATGGGTATTGCCAATAGTTTATTCATGGATATAAATTACCAATTTGAAAACTGTTCGACTTTGGTTTTGTTTATGTATTGAATGCCTCAGAATAAATTAATGGATTGTTTTGTTTTTATGGAGTTATTTCCCTTATACCATACCATTCAGATTATACACTCATTTATCAATTTGACCGCGCCAGTGGCACTCTTATCTGCTGTCTTGTCGCCATAGCATTAAGATACCAAAACACTGGAGCGAACACAAGACCTGGTTAGCGAGCCAGCATTTTACTCACTGAGCCACTGTGCCCCTCTCACAACTTATAAAAGTCTGAAATTCAACTTTAAGCTTCCGATCGGTGTTTCAAAAGAGAATTTCTGTGCAATTCAAAAACTTGACAAAAAATACAGCGCCGTTTGGTTCTGACCCTCCCTTGCTCACCCGAAGTCGAAATAGTCCTATTCTATCAAGGAAAAGGGTAACACATTTGGTTCCTCACGATCCTATGTAAACAGTAATATGCTTTGTTTTAGCCAAATAGCTTCCAAGAGTACAAATATTAATCTCCCCTTGTTTGAATTTCCGTTATAGATTAAATTAAGCCTTGAAGGGAGACCACCTTCCTTGTGCTTTCCTAACCTACCGCTCCAATTCTAATTTAAACTTTAAGAATAATAAACGAAAAAGAGGCAAAATATACGAAGCGTAATAATCAGGAAATGACGCTGAAAATACTGTACATGTTTTATTTAGTGTTCGGCACGAATATTCGAATATTCGCTCGTCGAATATAATATTCGAATATTCAAATAGCAATTACCATATTCGAATATCTATTATTTATTCTATTTGCTCTCAAATATGATTAAAGGCGACTTTCCTTGCCACATTCACATTCAAGGCTAATCTTTGGAACCACATGAAGTTGAAACATGGCTACGTAGCTCCAGATACTTCCTCTGCACGGGACGTGGGGTCAGGCAAGATTCAGTCAATTAAAAAGTACTACACAAGTTCTACAGCAAGAAGTATGACAAGATTCAGCGCAGCAAAAAACATCACTGAGAAATTGATCAAGTTTGTAGCCAAGCATTGCCAAGCTCCAGAAAAGGGGCTAAATTTTGGATGTTTGTGTTGTGTCCAGTTCACTGACATTTAATTGGCTGGTATGCTAACCTAAACAACCTGTCCGACTTGAAAGCATTATTACCCTTATATGTTGACAACTATAAACCTGCCTGCTATTGGGAGTATCAAATGACATCATTTATTATAATCGGTATCATTTCTGGGGAATCAGTTGTTTATTTATTCCAAAAAACAAGTTTTATCATTAAAAAGAATGGTAGTGGATGCCAGAATAAAGAATTGAAATCTTTCAATAAAGGTGAGCTATATTATATTCTTTCTGAAAACAGAACATATGTATTATGTAGTTTAATTGGATAAGGATTTGCATGTTTAAACCAGAGACAAAGTACATGTACTGTAGTAGTGTGTATTTTCGTACAGAATTTGCAAATACTTAACTAGATAAAATTTAAATTGTGCATTTCATTTTAAAATTAAAGTAACATTTCTTAAACTGTCATTTTAAATATGGTGAATTAACTTCATGATGAAGTTGAAGTTGATAGATAACAGCTTAACACTGTTACATATGGAGACTGTCATATAACCAATATTCTAACCAACCCAATACATAACATATTCTTTTTATTCAAGGAAGAACACAGATACCAGACCAGAGCTGTTATTTTAATTTGAGAGGGCTCATTTCATCCGGTCCTGATTTTTATACTACATGTTCTTGTGGATGTATACTGCTGTCGCAACTGTCCATTTGTCCGGCCATAATTTGTTTGTGGACACTCAACAGGTCACAATTGTTATCAGATGTTGACAGAACTTGAAATATGGGCATATCTCCCAAAGATCTTGGTTTCTTACGATATTGGCATGTACCAGACCGGGTCTCGTTTTAAGCTTGTGGATCCTCTAGAGGTCACAATTTTCATCCAGTTATATATTTATATCCCTAAGATCTGGGTTCCTAATGTTGGTACTTCAGACCATAACTTGCTGGATTATGACCGATTGTACAAAAAAAACGCCTTTTTGTTAGCTTGTTCTGTCCATCTACTGAAGACGGGCATATGCCATACAGTGTGCTATGAGAGAAATTTTGCCCTGGCAGCTGCACCATGGTTTACTCTTATATCGAATTCCTACTGCCGAGGGATATTTTACGTGCACGCTAATGTATACCCTGGCAGTCGGTTTTGGTACCATCCGAACGACTGGGCGGCTGTCCTTGTCAGTTCCTCCGTCCGACACCACTGACAAGGGGAAGCCAGGCCGGAAAATCCCAACGAACTTTCTAGTCCAATGTAGGGATCGAACATAAGACCTCCAGGCTAGCAAGCCTGTGTCTTACCCACTTAGCAACCGTGGCTCTCAATAATTTAAGATACTGATGATCAATATAAATGTAGACATTTTAGAATGTTTGGGAGCTTTTGTATACAATTCGTTCATGTCTTTATAAAGTTGTGTATCTTTGTATAATTATGTACATGTATATGTATCTTTGCTTTCTGCATGTATCTTTCTATTATTTTTATTTGTATATGCACATAACCTTGTAATTTTTTTATGCAATAAAATTTCTTCTATTACATCAAATTTAAAATATAAAAAGCTTAGTATAAGTTTATGTAATATTTGAATCAAATGTTATTTTTATTTATTAAATTTTTATTTTAATTTTGGGTTGTTTTTTTCTGCATTTAATTTGAATGTAAATTAAGTCTCATATAGAAACTGCTCCAAACGCATCTAAATATAGAGCAGTGTAATATGATACTTAGCATGCCCTAAACAACACATCATCTGTATCAGATAATTAGGCTACAACATATTGTCTTTGACAAGTTGATGACAAGATTCTCTTCAACAGAACTGTATTGTCTGTGGGGGTCGCATTCCTAAATTTGAGGAAAAATGGCTAATTTGGGCCTAGTCCAAGCACTGTATTGACAATGACCATTTTCGGGAATGGGTAGAAGCCCTGAATCCATCACACAATTTGCGGTCAAGTAAAACACTCAAAAAAAGAATGGAAGAAATCTATGATGCCGTTCGTTCCGACGAACGTCAAATCAGGAATGACCCAAGTCACAAGTTAGCCCTGTGACCACAGATGTATGGACATCAGATGAACAAAATGAGTCTTGCATTAATTTAACCGCTCATTTTGTATCACCAGATTGGGAGATGGTGGCTAAGACTCTGGAAGTGAAATCATGTCCAGGTTCACATACCTCGGATAAACTAAAAGAGCATCTGGCGGAGATGGCAGATGACTGGAGTATGGTTGAGGTCCGCGTCTACTTGTTGCGATGTCATGGAAGGCCGAGGTCTTGTGTACACATTGGCGGTTTACGTAAAAGATCCATTGTTATAATTTCTAATTATAATAATTAGAAATTATAATATTTATATTAAAAATTGAAACTATTCGAATACTATTCGAATACAAATTCCAAGACCCATCGAATAGTATTCTTGTTCGAATATCCGAACACTAGTTTTATTGAGTAAGTTTCTTATGCTACATTTAGTGATGTCGTATAATGTGCACTCTATCCAATATCCGAATAACATCCCCGCAATCCCTCATCATGTCAACCACGGTGAGTATTAGGTAGAACCTTATGCGAAAATTAATACCTTTGGATAACGAATTATGTGGTGTTCGAGGGATCCATACGTGGCTCGTTGAGTATGACAGTAGCTCAGTAACCAGGAGATTTGGGGTTTGTTCCTGGTAATGGCGATGAAGTTCCTTGTAGTGATTTTCCAGCCTATTTCCCATTCCTGAGGGTCTTTTTGTTTTGTTTTTAAAATTCATTATAAGTTATGTATCTGCATTAAAGATTTTGAGAAATACTTATAGAGTTACCGTTGTGTCAAAAAATTTTGCTGACCAATTGTTAAAACTAGGAGAAAGGGTGACGTCATGCATTTTCGGAAAATTTAGGCTTGGTGGGTCTTATAAAAATGATAATTTATGTAGCATTTAAAGCCAGAAAAACGCTCTGCAGTCTAGGCAAATTTAGCTCTCGCATAAGGAGTTATTATTGCCTTTAAAAGTACAGTTAACAATGTAGTAGACCAACATCATTTTTGGCCAGTTTCTACGTACGACTTTCTATTTGTATCGTAGAGTTGTTTTTAAATACGAATTAAATTACACGAATCTGCCCGGTGCAAATGTGGGGGAGGGGGGGGGGGAGGACTTTGGTCTACAGCATGTTGATTTTTCTGGCGGGACACTAGTAACAAGACGCCTGGCGCAAACATCGCATTTTTTTAAACGGATGGGGAAGGGGGTGGGGGGTGAAATCGAGCTACGCCACTGGTATTGATTCATCCGTGTCAATTTATAACAATTTCCCGTTTTGTTTAGTTCAGGGAACGTATTTATATTAGACTATCCATTCGTATTATCCCAGTACCTGACCCGCAACCCTGTTTCCGTTATTGTTTGCCAGTTTCGTGCTGATGCAAGACAGGCGTTGATTTATGAGGAAATTCGGTGTAAACAAAACGATACGGAAGTCTGGGATTTGTGCATTGTTTATAAAAGCTATAATAAAACGGTAGGTCTAAATATGGCCTATTTCACAGACATCATAGGTCTTAAAGTTCAATAGACAATGCAGGATAACTGTATAAAAATACACAGACATAACATATTGTCATGAAACACTGCGATGATCAGCTGTAACTCTTTCAATTACGTGTATCTTATATATAAACTGTTTCAATTGCATTTACAGTGTATACACAGGACATTCTGTAGAATACAGTTGCTGTTTGTTATTGAGCGCCGTTTCGACAATGAAATTCTTGTCTTTACGGAATCCTATCTGTAGAAATTTACCAGTGCCGTACAGAAGGACTACTATACGATTTTGCTCTTCACTATATACCAAATTTATAATGCGTTAATAATTGGCATTTCTGTTGACCTATTTTGCATTGACGACCCCGCCCCTTTTATTACAAAAATAGAGGTGCTATAAATACTTATTATCTCCATCATGGGTATTTTACGATTCATGAATT